GTTTTCCTTCTTTCTTTTTAGTCTTTATATCATCGCTGAACGAAGAAGTAAATTTTAAAAATATATATCCGAAATGTAGAGTATATAAAGTTTAAAGCAGAAATGCTAAAGGTGTTTACTCCTCGAATAAGGCGGTTGAAAGAAATTGATGATAGATATTCTCAGCTGACGGAGAAAGGCGCGACGGCATTATTCCTCGCTCCACCTCCTTGTGTTCGGTCTGTCAAAGGCGGGACGCTTCTACCCCATAGCATAAACGATCTCTTTTACACTTTTGAACTCCACAGCAACCAGAAAAGAGGCGCGACATCCAACGGCGGCGACGAGGCGAAATAGGAGCCTATCCCTCGCTTGGACTGGTTTTCAACACAAAAATATTCTTTCAGTGCAACTGGTAAGGTGTTGAAGCTAAACTCTAACACATACTTCATTATCTCTCTGACGGTTTGGACGAAAAAAAGGCATCACAAAAGTTTAGTGTCCATGTCCTTGGGTTTTCTGAAGTTCACTAATAACAGCGAATTGGCCAAGAGTGAAGAGCCTCCTCTCTCCAGCCCTGTAAGGTGAGTCGTCCCCGGAGCGCGGCCCTTCTCTGTGAACCTCCAAGCCCTCACGCCTTTGCTTTCAGCGAACATGCTTCTCTAAAGTGATAAATCAGTGCATTAACCTCTCTAAGGAAAAGTGCAACGCAGGCTTCCTTCAAGACGACCACTTCATTCTTCGTCCCCTCGCGCGGCTGTGCCTCCCTGGCCGTCTCTCCCCGTCCAGGAGACTGGTCATTTCCCCCTGTGTCTCGGGCGCCAGCGGGAGGACGTCTCCCTCTTCTCGTGTCTCTCAAGCGCCGAATAAGAGGAACAAACGACGAGGAAGAGACGCAGGACTGGGACCAATACGAATTTAAAATCAAGATCTTAATGACGCTTCTCATATTCGAACGCAGGACTGGGACCTACTCGACTGAAAATCAAGACACTAATAACGCTTCTCTGATTCTAGGCATCACCATAATGTTATACTTTTATAATCCGAAGTTAAAATAAAATAAATAAATAAATTGTTATGGGGAAATTCAGGGCAATTGTCCACAACCTACCTAGGCCTACACCATCATCCTTTCTCCCTTTTTATCTGAACGAGCGCCATACGCCTGCGCGCCCTCTCTCGATAGCATTAATGTCTGTTGACAAAGAGGCTCCCACGCCCAACCAACCGTCAGGCCCTGGGTGTCCGGAACGATAGGGAGTTCTACTGACTTTTTCTTCTCGGTTGCATAAAGTTCTTTCTAAAGAAGTCAAAGCTTGAGATGCGCTCCCCCCCCCCCCCCTCTCTCTCTCTCTCTCTCTCTCTCTCTCTCTCTCTCTCTCTCTCTCTCTCTCTCTCTCTCTCTCTCTCTCTCTCTCTCTCTTCATTTTTCTGTCACAATTTCCCGCCAATTTCCGAACAAGTAATGTCCGTGCTATTATCTGTAGAACTGAACAAATTACCTTACTGAATACTAACATACCAGAAACGTACAAAATGAAAAGAAAACCCCAACAAAATTCGGAAAATGCTCACCTGATCATGGAGGGAAAAGATGAGGCCGAGGTCAGTGACATTGTGTTCGGACACGCCCTTCTGCTGTTCATGAAAAAGGCTCAATTCCGCCACCTTCATTGTCTGTCGGGCAACACCAAAAAAAAAAAAAAAAACAGGGAAGAAATACGGTTAACAAAATCAATATGGCGATTCTTTTATGTTTTTAATGCCTTCTTAATGGTGCCATGCCAGTCATACGTCGACCACACAACTCACTTACAGGCACTCACTCACTCACTCAATCAATCACTAAATCACTCACTCATTCACTCTCACTTTCTCTCACTCACTCACTCTCACTTTCTCTCACTCACTCACTCTCACTCACTCACTCACTCTCATTTTCTCTCACTCACTCTCTCACTCACTCTCACTTTCTCTCACTCGCTCTCACTCTCATTCTCATTCTCACATTCACTTTCATTTTCTCTTGAATAAATATACAATAAAAGACTAAAATATAGCAAACATTTCAAAATATGTAGAAGATAATGAAATATAGTTTAAATACTTATAACAAACAGTGGCGATTAAAATAGGATATTCAAAAGTGGAGACACTGTATGCGTGGTCTCTAACATGAATAATAGCAAACATATATACATACATACACAACGCACGCACACACATATATATGTGTGTGTGTGTGTGTATGTGTGTGTGTGTGTGTGTGTGTGTGTGTGTGTGTGTGTGTGTGTGTGTGTGTGTGTGTGTGTGTGTGTGTGTGTGTGTGTGTGTGTGTGTGTGCGTGTGCATGCGTGTGTATATATGTATGTAACGATATATGTATAAACGTATGTATCTGTATATGCATGTATATATTTATGTATATAGATTTATATTAATTTATCTAAATACACGCATACATATATTATATATATATATATATATATATATATATATATATATATATATATATATA